CAAGGACACAGATATGACAAGCTGGAAAGCTGGTGACCCTTTTTATGTCACCACAAACCTGTGACAGAATTGTCAACCCAAAACCTTGGACGGCAGATCATACACACTTTGAGTCTGTGGTGGTGGGGAAATGGTCAGAAAGGTGACTGTGGTCAGTGAGGGAGAATTGGCTGCTTGCTGCCTTCTTTAGCCAAGCCCTTTGAGAAAGATGAATGCAGGCAGAAGCAAGTCATTTTGTTAACAGAGATGGGAGGCAATAAAGCTCTGCTAAAATTGGAGTTCTCTGCCTGCAGTCTGCGATACAAGTCGCAAAAAGCAGTGATCTGGGCCTTCTGGTTTTGATAAAGCCAAGAACTACTATACTTCCAATAGCAGAAGATAAACTATGACCCCAAGCCCTTCTCAAGGGCCAGCAGCAAAGTGTTCTCTGCTGGACGGTAGAATCCAGCCAAGCAGGAGAGATCCTATTAAAAGGATTGCCTCCCCAACCTGACCTGCTGTGTTTTGTTGGCTGTTAGGGCAGTATGCCCTTAAGTGAAACCATGGCTTGTGGGTAAGACTGGTAGGTAAAGCTGGGACCTTTAGAACACAACAAATAAGGGCATCCCTTTTAGAAAACTGAAATGCGGTCTAACTATGAATTTACTTCATCACCTTGCCAGTCTTTGAAATGTCCCATCACATTTGATTAGGCTAAGGACTATTCTTTAACCTCCCTCTTTTTTTCCAAATTGGTTTTCTTTTTTTTTTTTTTTTTTTTTTGTACAGGAAAGGTTTATTGTCAAGCAGGGGAAGCCCGATGGGGGGGGGGGGAGAGGCGGGGGGAGAGGCTGTGTGTGTGTGTGTGAGAGAGAGAGAGAGAGAGAGAGAGAGAGAACGTGTACAGGAAGCGGGTCTTATTATACCCTTGCAGGGAGCAGGGAAATAGGAGCAGCAAATCCTGTTAGAGTGAGGGTGGAGCTGACACCTGTGGTTGGGCCATTTGGTCACCTGGCTTCTAGCAGTGGTGGTGGGGGCTAGAGCCAAGGATAGTGTCCAGGGCATAGATTATGCCACAGATAAGACTGCATCATTTTACTAACATTTCCTCTTTTGTTTTTTATAAAGCCAGTGTTGTATGGGATTACATCAGCCCCAAAAGTCCAGGATGGGTGCAAGCAGAATGATCTGTCTTTAGAGCTACTGCCTGCTGATACAGGGGTGACAAGTCACTCTGCTGGCATGTGGTGATGTCTCAAGTTGCAATCTCCTGGGTGGGAAGCCGAGTATATCCCTGTAGCAGCATTTGGTTGACTGACTGCCTGATTGGTGAAGGCTTTGATTTGTTCCGTTATCACCTCCTGTAAACACTTAAACAGACAGGGCAGTATAAAGACCAGGGTGAGAATGGCAGCCAGTGGTCCTAGGAGTGGCATTAACCAAGTAATGAGAGGATTTTAAAGAGGAGAGTAAATGCAGGGGTATCTGGACTCTTCTGAAGACTGATGGACATGGTTTGAAGCTGATTCCAACCAAGACCGGGAAAAAGGCCGCTTGTCTCTTGTGGTAGATGGGTTTGTCTGTAGAAAAATTCTGAACAATCATATGTTAGGAGGGAGAGAGGACAATCAATACACATGGGTCTGGAGTAGAGCCATTGATGTAAGAGTAGAGGCTATGATTACAAAGGAATGAAGCCCCAAGTGGGTTAGAGAAGGTCTAGAACAAAGGAAAGGACAGAGTCATTATTAGAGGACCTAAGGAAGGTGCTATCTACATCATGATTAAGTTTTCAGATTGAGAGGCAAATAGAACCTGGCAGAAGGGACCTGATAATAATCAGGTGGGCTTTAAGGCCTCATCAATTATGAGGCCCAGACTTCTCTACCTCTTCACATGGGGTACATCATAAGGGAGGTGTGAATCTCCTTAGGAAGGCACCCTGTTGCCTTCCATTACCTAGCTGGCCTGGGAGGAGAGCTGGCCAGGTAAAGGCAGGTGGCATCTCTAACAGGAAATTTGCAGTTCTGCCTGCGATGTTGCTGTCCCCTCAACAGCAGTGGTTACTTTGGAAGCTGGGCCAAGTGAAGGGCTTTTCAGCTTAGAGTCAAATTGATTTTCATTGTACATTGTGTATTGGGAGGGTAGGGGGAAGAGGTAGCTACTTGCTTTACAGGACACTGGATCTGAGAAGTTATATCCAGTCTTACAAAGCCTTGCATATCTTCAGATTATGGACTTGGAGCTGGATGAAATAACCACTTGGGACTTTGGCTTTTCTCCATTGGAATAGGGTGTGTTGTGTCAGAAGTATACATGAATATTTGAGGGTCTAAAGCAGTGGATTGTTGCCAGAGCTGTCTACTGAAGTGCATTCATACCTTCTTCATTACTAGAACTGCCAGCTGCCATTAGTTGGATCCGTGCTTGCTCAGCTAAAGAACTTACTCTTCCCCCTTCCAAACAGGTAAATGTGGCTATGGCTCTAATCAGTCCAAAGGAATGAGTACAAAGACGTGTGATACTTCTGGTACACTCTCAAAAGTACTGAAGATGTGCATGCCTTTCCTCTCTGCCCTTCTGCCGGGCTAAGGTACAGACATGAAGGCAGGTGCTGGAACTGGCTCTTTGGACTCAGGAACATAGATCATGTCTGAGGATGGCAGCTTTGCCCTGCCAGGGCTGTACCTACCAGCCAACCTCTGGACTGTTATATGAGGGGAAAACAACACACACACACACACACACGAGATAGAGAGAAAGAGAGAGAGAAGAGAGAAACACCAAGAAAGAACTATCTCATATCTTTCAGATATAGTGTCTCTGGTTTTCTGGTAAAGCAACTCAATCTGTATTCTACCCAAAACTTATGCCTAAATTTTTGACTACAGCATTAAGTATTTTTTTGTTTGTTTGTTTTTTGACAGGCAGAGTGGACAGTGAGAGAGAGAGAGAGAAAGGTCTTCCTTTGCTGTTGGTTCACCCTCCAATGGCCGCCGCGGCTGGCGTGCTGCTGCCGGCACACCGCGCTGATCCGAAGGCAAGAGCCATGTGCTTCTCCTGGTCTCCCATGGGGTGCAGGGCCCAAGGACTTGGGCCATCCTCCACTGCACTCCCTGGCCACGGCAGAGAGCTGGCCTGGAAGAGGGGCAACCAGGACAGAATCCGACGCCCGGACCGGGACTAGAACCTGGTGTGCCGGCACCGCTAGGCGGAGGATTAGCCTATTGAGCCGCAGCGCCGGCCTGCATTAAGTATTTTTGTGTTCAAAGTATAAGGCAGGGTAATTCCTGAAATGGAAAAGGAACTTTTGCTAATGTAAGACAAGGTTTTGGTAAATTAATCTCAGTACCTAACACTGAATACTTAAGGTTTGCTGATTCTGTATCAGATCTTTCGGAAGCCAAGCTCAGTCCTGCTCAGCAGGGAACCACCTGTCTCTGTACTGTTACATGTTAGAGAAATAAAGCTCTATTTTGTCTATATTGCTGTATTTTGGGTCTTTTGGTCATACTAAAGGGAATGCTTAGACTGCGTCCTAAAGAAAAATACAGTGCTAGAATTTGCAGGAAAACCACAGCAAAACTGCAAAAAAATCAAAGCAGTGTGTGCCAGCTGTGGAAGATGAGCCTCTCCTCCCCACAGCCCCAGAGAGCCTCAGTTGGAGCATCCAGGAAGAAATGAGGTGGAGCAGCTGAAGAAAAGGAAGTGCTAGTGTTGAGAACTAAGGCAGAAATACTTAATCCTCTTCTCAAAAAACCAAAAGTACTCAATGCCACTTCTCTTGCAACTATTTTGGTAAATGTGATAGGAAACTCCTGTTTTAGGGAAAGATGTTTGGAAATAAATTATTTAAATTTTTTTCCTAATGATTATAAAAAACATAGCCGATGGAACATGAGAACATTTTAACAATGAACATATAACATTTAAAAAATTAAGGAAAACTTGAGTGATTCCACTACTCTGAACAAAACTGCAAACACTTTTTTCAATGGGTGTGCAAGCAGGAGTATGTGCACGTCCTCACAGATTACACGTCTACATACTGTAGGTCTGTTGTGCTCTTCTACTTTAAGTGCTACCTTTTAATGCTAGAAGTTCTTCAGTACTTAGTTGTAGAGTACAACTACAAAACACAGAAAAAGCCAACCAGTATGTATCAAAAGGCAGTAATTTAGAAAACAAAATATTTCCATTGCTAGAAAGATTTTGTTTTTTCAAATGCATAACAGTGACCAGGCCCTCACAAGCCTGGAAGGATACCTACCTTAGGGTGTTTTCCGGGAAGGCCTACATAATCTACTAGGGTAGAGGAGAAACTGACACAGATTTGGCCTGGGGGAAATCTCCATTACAAAATAAAGGCTTAATCTGTTTAGTGTTATGAGTCTGGCAACATCCTATACAGTAGGGCTAATCCTCCTGTGCTTCTTATGTTTCAGTCCAGGCCACATTAAAACCAAGGGGTAACCGACCCCATGCGGAGGCTGGGCCCACGCCTCCTCCCCTCTGTGGGCACTAATCTGCAGTCCCTTCCTGTCACGCACTCACCGCCCATTCTGGCACATCTGTGTAAAGCCGAAATCCCACAGTGAGGTCACTCACCTGGCTCCATCCACCTTCCATTCCTGCTGCTTATCTGTCACACAAACCTGTGTCACTTCCCATGACTGGAGAAGCAAGAATGACCCCACAGCCCCGTGAAATTCACCCGAACCGCCTTAGCGGTGGTATCGTGCCTTGCTCCTGTTTGCCCCCACTGTGTAATGGACTTTAAAAGGGAATCGTTGTAAATGTGTATCACAGGTGTGGCGAATACATCTTTATTCCGCGCTTGGGGTTTCTCACTCGGGGTGCACCGGCATCCACCCCACGGTCTGTCTCGAACCTGCCTCTAATGGAAGCAGCCGTGCCTTAGGCAGGTCGGCTGTCGTTTCACCGGGCCCTCCGCAGAGCTGCTGGGGAGGGGGCGGAACGGGAGCGAACTCTTAACCACAAACCGCACCACCGGGCTAGGGGTGACTTTTTGGCCTCTGCTGCTTCACGTACTTCGCGCGGCGATTCGCGCACTCGTTCTCCGCCCGGGAACTTTGGCCCGCGGCAGACACCGGGCCAGGCGCCCTCCTCCGGGAAGGAGCACGCCCTCGGGCACCGGCCTCGGGTAACCTGGGTTCCGGAGCGCCCGCCCGCCCTCCCGCCGCCGCCCGGCTCCAGCAGTCGCCTCCGCAAGCGGCGGGCTCCATTGCACCGGGCCGCCCCTCAGCTGGCGCCCGCCTATGCTCTCGGCCACGAGGACGGCGCGCCAGCTCCTTCACAGCCTTGTTTCCGTTCCGAGGATGGGCGACTCCGCCTCGAAGATCGTCAGCCCTCAGGAGGCCTTGCCGGGCCGGAAGGAGGCGACCCCCGTGGCGGGTAGGAACGGGGTGCACCGAGGCTTGGCCACTGCGCACGCGTACCGGCGGGTCCCTCCGCCCGCGGGGAAAGCTGCCGCCGGCCGGCCGAGGGCGGGTCGTGGGTGTGGGGTGTGCGCAGGCGCAGTGGAGGGGCTCTGCGGCTCGGGCTCCGGCCGGCTTTGCGTCTCCGTCCCTCGCACGGAACGGAACGCCGAAGGGATGAGTGTGTCTCTCTGACTCACGGGAGTGAAGTTGGCAGGCGGGGGCCGACGGGATTCCTGCCCTTCCTCCCCGCTCCCCTTTCTTTTCGGCTTCCGGAAGGTGGAGACCCTAGACCCCCGCAGTGACGGTGCGTGTGGCGTCCCAGGGAGCGTGCATCCCCTTCCCCAGCCCCGCTGGCCGCGGCTGGCAGAAGCTTCCAGAGTGATCAGTCGGGTGGAGGTGTAGAGTGGTGCCTCGCAAACTTTTCAGATTTCCGGCTGACACGGTACAGTGGAAAGACTGCAAAGTCGGTCCCACGCCGAGTCCGGCGGTGATGTTAAAGGGCTAAAACGTCTTGAGAAAGCTTGCTCCCAGTTTTTGTGACAGACAGCACAGGTCCACCAGTAGGAGGCCCCTGCTTTGAATAGCACGGGTTGAGTGCCCCTAATCCGAAATCCGGAATGCTCCAAAATCCGAAACCGGGAGCACGCATTTGATACCACAGGCTGAATATTTGACACCTGACCTCAAGTGACAGGTGGTAATCAAAACTCAGGTGTACTACAAGTATTGTATGACGTCATCTTCAGGCTGTGTGTAGACGGTGTATGTGAAACATAAGTGAGTTGTATTTGGATTTGGGTTCCATCCCCAAATTATTTTGTTTTATATATGCAAGTATTCCAAGCTGTGTGAAATATTATGAAACAGCTATGGCCCCCAAACACTTAAGATAGGCATAGTCGATTTACAATGCTTTGGTGCACTTGCTTCTCAAAGTGTGCCCCCACCCCCCCCAACAGCAGCATCAGCATTACCTGGAGGGGGCGGGGCCCCTCACCTGGACTACAATATCAGAGGCTCTGGGAATGAAGCCCAACAGGTGACTCTAATGCATGCTGTAGTCTCTAAACCACTGCCTTAGAGTGTTAGGCACATTAAGTGGTGTTGAATCCTACAGTTGGCTCAGTGTCAAAGAAATCCTGCATTAAAAAGTTTCCTAGGAATTCTTGTTTTCTTTTCCTTAAAGACTTTTTGAGTATAGGAGGAGGTCATATTGAGGGTTTGCCGCATCATAGAATGCTTAGTATGCGATTAGAAAAGGTAGATGCGTTTTGGGTTTGAGGCACATTGGAAACAGTGTGACCAGTCTCATACACTCTGTTGTTTTTCCCATCATCACCTCCAACTCATCTTCAGCCCTAGAAGTTTATTTTATTTATTTAATTAAAGGATGATTACTTTTTTATTTTCATCTACTGGAGTAACACACAGAGACACAAACAGAAAAGGAGTTCTTCCACCTGCTGGTTTACTTTTCAAATACCCACAGTAGCCAGGGTTGGCCAGGCTGAGCCAGGAGTCAGAACTCCATCTGGGTCTCACATGTGGATGATAGGGTTCTGAGCACTTGAGCCATCATTTGCTACTTCCCAGGATGTGCAAGTAGGAAGTTAGATTGGAAGCTGAGTAGCCAGGATTGGAACAGGCACTCTTTATATAGGATGTGGGCATCTTATTCTCCAACTTAACCCTTTGCGCCACAACTTCTACTCCTGTTTTAACTCAAATTCAGAGATTAAGTTTTGAAAAAAAAAATTCATATTTCTTTTTGACAGGCAGATTTAGACAGTGAGAGAGACAGAGAGAAAGGTCTTCCTTTCCATTGGTTCACCCCCCAAGTGGCCACTACGGCCAGTGTGCTGCGCCGATCCGAAGCCAGGAGCCTGTTGCTTCCTCCTGGTCTCCCATGCGGGTGCAGGGCCCAAGCACTTGGGCCATCCTTCACTGCCTTCCCGGGCCACAGCAGAGAGCTGAACTGGAACAGGAGCAACCGGGACTAGAACCCGGCGCCCATATGGGATGCCGGCACCACAGGTGGAGGATTAGCCAAGTGAGCCGTGGCGCTGGCCAAATTCATATTTTTTTTTAAAGAATATAAATTATATAACCAGATGATCTAAACTTTTATCTTAAAAATATATTCTCTTTGATGCTGGTGCTGTGGTACAGCAGGTTAAAGACCTGGCTTGAAGTGCCGGCATCTCATTTGGGCACTGGTTCTAGTCCTGGCTGCTCCACTTCCGATCCTGCTCTCTGCTATGGCCTGGGAAAGCAGTGGAAGATGGCCCACATCCTTGGACCTCTGCACCCGCGTGGGAGACCTGGAAGAAGCTCCTGGCTCCTGGCTTCAGATTGGCACAGCTCTGGCTGATGCTGCCATTGGGAGTTAACCAGTGGATGGAAGACCTCTATCTGTTTTTCAAATAAGTAAAAATAAAATCTTTAAAAAAAAAATTTCTCTTTTACAAGCCGGTATTCATTAATGGACATCTCAAGACAGTGCCTTTTTTTTTTTTTTTTAATTATTTATTTGAGAGGCAGAGTTAGAGAGAGAGGGAGAGAGAGGGAGAGAGAGAGACACAGAGAGAGAGGTCTTCCATTTGCTGGTTCACTCCCCAAATGGCCGAAATAGCTGGAGCTGGGCAGATCCAAAATCAGGAGCTTCTTCTGGGTCTCCCACACGAGTGCAGGGGCCCAGACAGTTGGGCCATCTTCCACTGCTTTCCCAGACCATTAGCAGAGAGCTGGATTGGAAGTGGAGAAGTTGGGATTCAAACCAGTGCCCTTTTGAGATGCTGGCTCTGTAGGTGGAGGTTTAACCTACTATGCCACAGCACCGGCCCCAGCTTTGCTTTCTAAATGCTAACTTCCTCAGCTTGGACTATTCTTCCTCTTCATACACTGATTTCTCTATTATGCCCTTACAGATTCTAAACAAATTAAAAATTCTTTGTTTTTAAGATTTATTTATTTATATTTGAAAGTCAAAGTTAGAGAGAGAGAGCTTCCATCCTCTGGTTTACTCCCTAGATGGCCACAATGGAGAGGGCTGAGCCAAGCCAGAGCCAGGAGCTTAATTTGGGTCTCCTACATGGGTGGAGGGACCTAAGCTCTTGGGCCATCTTCTGCTGCTTTTCACAGGGTATTAGCTGGATTGGAAGTGGAGCAGCTGGGACATGAGCTGGTGTCCATATGCGATGCTGGCATTCCAGGTGGTGGCGTTACCCCATGGCACAATGCTGGTTCCTCTCAAAACTCTTGATCACGTTTCCAAACCAATTGAAGATAAAGGTGGACCTGAAATTTTTTTTTTTTTTTTTTTGACAGGCAGAGTGGATATGAGAGAGACAGAGAGAAAGGTCTTCCTTTTGCCGTTGGTTCACCCTCCAGTGGCCGCCATGGCTGGCACGCTGCGGCCGGCGCACCGCGCTGATCCAAAGGCAGGAGCTAGGTGCTTCTCCTGGTCTCCCATGGGGTGCAGGGCCCAAGCACTTGGGCCATCCTTCACTGCCTTCCTGGGCCACAGCAGAGAGCTGGCCTGGAAGAGGGGCAACCGGGACAGAATCTGGCGCCCTGACTGGGACTAGAACCTGGTGTGCCGGCGCCGCTAGGTGGAGGATTAGCCTATTGAGCCGCGGTGCCGGCCCGAAAGGTGGACCTGAATTTTGTTCTGTTTTATTTTAAGCAAAATCTTACCAGTGAGTTTCCCAGTGATACTTGTAGTAAAAGGTTATCATACATTACAGAAACAAGAAAATAATTTCTTTTTCATATCCATATAACTGTAATTGCAAAACCTCAGGACCTGGTTTCCTTTGAGGCTTTGCTGCTTTTTATAGAGCCCTACAATGTAAGTACCCTTGTTGTTCAGCTGTTGTGACATTCCCTCCAAATATTTACATTTTAGATTGTGGTCTTTACAACCTCTAAGGAGTGCTTTTGCCTTGACAGATAGCTGGAAGTTCTGATTGACTCCAGAAACGGGCAGTGTTATGTATTTAGTGGTTTTTTGATGACTGTAAACTTGAAATATTATTTTGAAAGTTGAATTAATCTCTACTTCAACTTCCATCCTATTTACCAGCTCTTCACTTCTCTGTATTACTTCTATCTGTGCCTCTTGTTTGTACCCTACTCTCTAGCAATATGGGACAAAGGCATCCCCTTTTACATGACAGGCCTGCCTGTTCAGTGCCTTTCACGCAGCCTAGGGCCAGGTGTGCACTGTTACCAAATACGTTTGCTATTAAGGGTTATCCCCTTGGCTTCAGTCCTTCTTCCTTTTTATAATCTGTGGCCTTGTAGGAGATTCCCACTTTGTAAAATGGGAAGATTCAAATCTTCATGCTTTAAATTTCTCCCAGGCTACCTAAAATGGATCAGAGTATGAATATGCCTACTTTGGTGATTTGTTAGAGCTGAACCTGCACTGTGTCGTCTCATTTGCAGCATGCTTTTTTCCAGCAAGGGTGGCTTTTAGACAGCACTGACTGGCTGGTGGGTTGTGCAGCAATGTGCCTGGCATTATGGAGGTGTAGGTGGTCTTGCTTGTGTCAGTTGGTGGCCATGAAACAATACTCAGAACTTTGGGACTGAGAGAGAAGAGAAATTCATGCTCACTGAACTGAATTGTTAGAGACAGGCATAGAAGTGAAAGGCTTGTAATTAAAACCTCAGAGTGCCTCCCATGTTAAAATGTGAGTTTGTTACAGCCAGAACTGATCTTATTTCCAGTGAATTACTTATTGTAGAAGCCCAGTTTTCTTTTGAGCTCTTTGGCTTTCTTGTTTCCTCTCTCTCTCTCTTTCTCTTTTTTTCTTTTTCGCATTAGAAAAGTTGCCAATCTGTTTTATTTTTCTTTTTTAAGAAGTATTTTACTTGAAAAGCAGAGTGACAGAGGAGATACAAAGAGAGATTGGAGTCTTCCATTAGCTGGTTCACTCTCCAAATGGCTGAAATAGTCAGGGCTGGATT